ATACACTGCTTCGGTGCGCAGCCCGGTCCATGCACAGTCCAGAAATGCACATAAGCCACTTGGGCAATATCCAAATAACAGTTCACAGTTCAAAACGTCAATAACATGTAGTTTAAGTTCTCAAATCTTAGAAAAATGGCTGAGCTTTCAAATCAGTATTAAAAACCTTGGACTGAAATCAAATGATATGCAAAATATGCTAAAACAATAATATCAATCCCCGAAGGGGTCCACAAGTCGGCACAAGGCCCCAAACAACGGCAACAAGCCCAATTCACAGTAATAAAGTATGCGTCTCAATCGCCAATATAGTAGAAATAACACTCGGGACGGACCAGGTCACAAATCCTCAACGGTGCTCTACCCTACGCTCGTATCCGGCGTGCAAGTCACCTCAATACAGCACTATGATGTGCAAATCCGGGGTTTCAAACCCTCAGGATATCATTTACAAGTATTACTCACCACGATCCGGTCCAAACTCTATCCTGTGATGCCTCGCCCGCACGAGTCTACCTCTGAATGCTCCAAATCTAGCCACAATCAGTACATAATCATTAAAATATGCAAATGGAGCGAAGCCCACTCGAAAATATCCAATTTAACATCAAAATCCCGAAATTGCTCAAACCCGGCCCCCGGGCCCACGCTTCAGAATTCGACGAAACTCACAAAATCCGACAACCCATTCAACCACGAGTCCAACCATATAAATTTCACCAAAATTCGACAACAATTCGGCCTCCAAATCATCAATTCTTATTTTCAAATCCCTAGGCTCAAACCTTTGGATTTCACCCCAAAATGAGTAATCTAGTTAGGATATTTGATGATAATCCCATATTATTGTCTAACAATGACCACAAGTGACTTATCTCTAGTTTTCACATGAATTCTTACTCAACAATCAACCAAAAACGAGATTGAAGACTAGGGTATAGAATCTTACCTCTTCGATGAAGAACTTGTGATTGTTCTTTGATTTCTTGAAGATTGATGCAAGATTGGATGATTTAAATGGTGAGTTCCCCATTCTTTCTCTAAAATGCTCTCACCTCTCTCTAAATTGCTCATAAAATCACCCCAAAATGAACCCCAAAGCATATATATTAAAATGGGGTCGGGTTATAAAAAGTGGGAAGTTAACACTCCGAAGTCGGGTCTGCTGTAGCAGAACGGACCGCAGAATGAACATGCGGTCCGCAGAATGCACCGCAGAATCGACACCCAAAACTGGGCTACACTGGCCCAATCTGCGACAGAAATGCGACCGCAGAGTGCTATCTGCGACAGGTTCTGCGGTCGCAGATTTGACACAGGTTCACATTTTCCAGCCTTTGGTAATTTGATCATAACTTTGTGTAGGAATGTCCAAATGATGAACGGTTTGAAGTCTTGGAAACTAGACTTAGAGATCTTTAATTTGATAGGTTGTTAATCACCCAACTTCTTGTATAACTGGAGATATGATCGTTTAAAGTGAGGTCTTGTGCGCACTCATTTACAACTTCGTCGATTATGAAATTTTCCAACTTCAAAAGTTCCCGTTAGCCATCTGAAATCACCCCAAGGTCCCCGGGACCTCAACCAAAAGTGCAAACCCATCCTAAAACATCATATGAACTTGTTCCAATCATAAAAACACATCCAACAACACAGAAATCACCAATTCTCAACGGATTCAAGCCTAAGAACTTTGAAACTTCTAACTCCCACATCCGATGCCGAAACACGTCAAAACTAGTCCGAATGACCTCAAATTTTGCAGACAAGTCCAAAATGACATAACGAAGCTACAACAACTCTCGTAATTCCATTCCGACCCTCGAATCAAAATCTCGCATACCAATCGGATTTCGCTAAAATCCTAACTTCGCCAAAATAGGCTAACTTCTACACCGAACCTCCAAATTTACTTCCGATTGCTCTCCTAAGCCTTAAATCATCCCTTGAAACTAACCAAATCATCGGAAATCAATTCCGAGCCTTCTAACTCACAACTCAACTTCCGGTTGACTTTTCCCAAACTAACCTTTCCTTAAAGAGACTAATTGTCTCATTTCTTATCAAAATCATTTCAAATCAATTCTAATGCACCCAATACCGATAACGAAACATATGAAAGCAGAAAATAAAACGAACGGGGCAGTAACTCACGAGACGACGGGTCGGGTCGTCACAATACAATTGGTAAGAGTACCTACCTTTAAAATATATGTGAGAAACGACTTGACTTCTAAGGGGCTCATACATATTGTTAAAGGATTCCTTTACTCCACTAACAGAAAAAGATTTCGTAAACTATAATGAGGGTAAATAGTTTAAAACAATTAGTGGAAATATCATTTAGATAAAAGTCCATGTCTTTATGATATGTGAAAATATGTTCTTATATTGTTGCTTTTTCTTTTCTATATTTTAGATTTCTCAATATGTCTGTTATATCACTACGTGGAATACTTGAGACCAACAAGTTGGTAGGACCAAACTTTGATGATTGGTACAGAAATTTGAGAATTGTTCTCATGCATGAAAAGCTTATTGATGTGATCGATAAGCCCGCCAAGGAAGTCCCAGGTGAGGATGATGATGATGCTACCAAGATTTATCAGAAATACTTGGAAGAATGTCTTACTACCAAATGCATCATTCTCGCCTCTATGAATTCTGAACTACAGAGGAAACATCAGGATATGGATCCAACTGCAATCATTGAACATCTTAAGAAGATGTTTGGTACACAAAGCAGGACAGCTAGATACCAGCTATCTAAGGCTTTATTTGGATCCAAATTGACTAGGAACTCTCCAGTTGGACCCTATGTCAATCGTATGATTGATCTTATTGAAGAACTTGAGAAGTTGGGGTGCAAATTGGGTAAAGAGCTTTCTCAAGATTTGATCTTGCAGTCACTATCAGAATCCTTTTCACAATTTGTTATTAATTTTAATATGAATAAAATGGATTGTGATCTTCATGAGATGCTTAACATGCTGATTGATTATGAGAATCAACTTGCATCTGAGAAGAAGAAAGGAACTGTCATGTTGGTTGGAAACTCTTCTAAGAAGAAGGGTAAGGGTAAAAGTAAACCCAAGAAAAAGCCTACTGCGCCCAAGGGTGGTGTGACCAAACCCAAAGGCAAAGAAGGCAAAGCTGACCAATCTGATGCTGTATGTTTCCATTGTAAGAAAATAGGACATTGGAAGAGAAACTGCCCGGAGTATCTTGCAACTTTAAAGGACAAGAAACAAGGTAAGACTTTAATGAAAAATGTTTTCAAGGTTTCTTTAACTACTACTAATTCTTCATTGTGGGTATTAGATACTGGCAGTGGTTATAACATCTGCAATATGTTGCAGGGGTTCCAGATAAGTAGAAAGTTGAAGAAAGGAGAAATTAATCTACAAGTTGGAAATGGTGCAAAAGTTGCGGCCGTAGCTGTAGGATCAATTTCTTTAATAATGCCTACGGGCAAAGTACTTATGTTGGATGATTGTTATTACGTTCCTAAATTTGTTTCGAACATAATTTCAGCTTCTATGTTAGACAAACGTGGTTTTCGCATTAATATAGGCAATGGTATTTGCTCTATTTATTATAGTGATAATTTATATGTGAATGACTATCTCCAACATGATGTTTATGTCTTACCTAATGTGAATGCTAATTCGATTATGCATGTTTCAAGTCTTAAGAGGAAAAGAGATGATCATGTAAATCAAACATACCTTTGGCATTGTAGGCTTGGTCATATTGGAGAGAAAAGAATTAACAAGTTGTACAAGGAAGGGTACCTTGACAAGTATGATTTTGAATCATATCCAACTTGTGAATCTTGTCTCAAAGGAAAAATGACCAAATCTCCATTTATTGGAAGTGGAGAAAGAGCTTCTGAATTATTGGGACTAATTCATACAGATGTTTGTGGGCCCATGAAAATTCAAGCTAGAGGTGGATATTCTTACTTCATCACCTTCACTGATGATATGTCAAGATATGGATTTGTGTATCTTATGAAACACAAGTCTGAATCTTTTGAAATGTTCAAGAGGTTCCGTAGTGAAGTTGAGAAGCAGACTGGTAAAAGTATCAAAGTACTAAGGTCTGATAGAGGTGGAGAATATCTTAGTGAAGATTTTACCAGATATCTCAAAGAGAATGGGATTCTCTCACAGTGGACACCTCCAGGAACACCACAACACAATGGTGTGTCTGAAAGGAGAAATCGAACCTTATTAGATATGGTGAGATCTATGATGGGGTTCACTGATCTTCCAATAAATTTATGGGGATATGCTTTGGAAGNAGTGAGTGGCTGTAGAGACTTCACGGTGAGCTGCTTTCCATTCCTACATCGCTCGGCAGCCGATGAGTCTTCTGTATTTTGCTGTCTTCCTATTTCAGACAGTAGGGTAGACATGGTGTATATTTCTACTAGATGCCCGTACACTGTGATACCAGGTCTTGGCACGTTACACTTTAGTAGACTTTGTTTTTTTTGGGTTGTGTAATATTTTTACTACTCCCTGTATTATCGTCTTTTGGTTCTAAACCCAAGCTAAATGGGTATTTCATCTAAAATTGAGTAAAATTCTATAAGAATTGTTAGACTAATCCGCACTTGGCTTGCCCGGCAAGGTTGTTGGGCGCCATCATGACCTATTATGGAATTGGGTCGTGACAAAATGAGTTACATGTTTTTATTTAAAATTGTGACTAAATTGTAGAATTCAATTTAGAATTGAATTCCATAAATGAGTTTCGTGTTTTTATTTTAAAATTGTGACTAAATTGTAGAATTCAATTTAGAATTGAATTCCATAAATGAGTTACATGTTTTAATTTTAAAATGTTGACTAAAGTTGTAGAATTCAATTTAGAATTGAATTTCATAAATAAATTATATATTTTTTATTTATGGAATACTTACCACAAGACATGTGATTTGTATTGGAAATTATGTATATATATATGTGTGAGTCCTAATTAAGAATTAGTGAGGTATACATCTTACACAGCAAGAGAATTATTCTTGAGAAGAAAAATTACTTTGAGAAAGTAATAGTGCAATATAAAATAAAGATAGAAAAATACTAGTACAAGAAAATTATTTCTTGTTCTTCTACCTTTGAGTTGAAATTTTTGAGAAATATTTCAACACAATATTTTCATTCGATTTGTTCACGGGGTTTCATTGATCAAGGAGTTGATAGCAAGGACCAGTCTTGGTGTGGATACACATGGAGTCTTCGCACTATCGAAGAAATTTAAAAACGAATCTCTCTTCACAAGGTATGTCTTAGATCCGATCTTTGATATGTAAATAAATTTTAAACACGAAAATTCCTACCTAGGATTGCTTTTATGTTCCGCTGCGTGTTATGAACATCTCTATGCGATCCTATATATTCTTGTCCGGTGTGATTCCATATATTTGATATCTCAATGTCTTCTGTGACATTGCTGGACTGAGCATGTAGTTAGTTTGGGTTTGAATTATTATTTGTTATCCGTATTATAATTTATAAAAAAAGAGAAGGAATGAAGAAGACGAATGAGTTGGGTTTCAATTATTAGTTTGTTATCATTATTAGCTTGTTTTATTTTGTAAGCATGAATATATTGTATATACATACATGTATGTCTGGGCAGTAGGTGTGATACTTAGGTCATTTTGAATTTAATTAAAGAAAAGTCAAACTTTTGTATCAAATAGTAATAGATGCAAATGGTAAGCTCTTTTATTTCAATAAACCCATGTCCAAAAACTCTTAGCCATACCACAATCTTAAATCTAGCTAAATATGAATATCCGTAGTTTGCTTTAAGTTGAGTGCAATCCTTGGAATAATTTAAGGCGTGCCATGCCAAATAAAATCCCTAAGCTCATGGCCCTCACAAAACTAGCTACCTTTTCTTATAAAAAATTTGAGGTGTGCCATTTTCATTACATGGCCCTCATGTAACTAATTTTAACTCTCTAGAAATCGAGGTGTGCCATTAGTTGAATTTTCCATGGCCCTCGCAAAGTTGAAAGTACGTAGATGCTTTAGGCGCGCTATTTTAATTAATTTCCTTAACTCGGGTGTGCATTTCATGTGACCCAAATCCAAATCCTAAAACGTTGAATAGAATGTGTTTCGGATTGCGGGTGCATTTCATGTGACGCAATCCAAAGACATGTTTTAAACGACGTTTAATTTCCTTTAAAATTAATTAAAAGCGGTAAATAATTTAAAATTGCATCATAGGTTGAAACATGCATTAAAATCAGATATTTAGCCATTATAATAGTTTAAGCGACCGTGCTAGAACCACGGGATCCGGGGGTGCCTAACACCTTCCCTCGGGTCAACAGAATTCCTTACTTAGAATTTCTGGTTCGCAGACTTCACTTGGAAAGTCGAATATTTTCCTCGGATTGGGATTCAAGATAAACCTGTGACTTAGGACACCAAAAGCCAAACCTTTCCCAAGTGGCGACTCTAAATAAATAAATAATTCCGATCCGAATAATGTCACTTAACATGGAAAAACTCCCTTGTACATTATCCTTCGGTGTAGGTGTGTAAAAAGGAGGTGTGACAGCTCTGGCGACTCTGCTGGGGACACAAACCCAGAACTTCGGTTCAGGGTTTAAGAATTCGAGCTTACAATAACTGTTATATTTGGCTTTATCTGATTTTCCTACATGTTCCATGCTAAATGTGCTAAATGCTTTACCGCTTTGATATTTGATGAATTGTATATATAAACTGTTACGAAACCCATTTTCTCTCTGAGTCTTCTAAATCATGAAGAAGGGTGCACTTCGTGTAACTTCTTTTCTGTCTAGAGTCCAATTCATTTTAGAACGAGGTTCGGATAAGTTGCTAAGCCGGCGGAGCTTCTGTATTCCCGGTACGCCCCTCCCCCTCTCCCCCCCTCCCCCCCGGCTCGAGTTGTCTGCTCGGGTAAGCTAGGTCTAGAACAATAAATCCAGGTTTTTAACCATAGTATAACAAAGCCTCATGCCGGATCCCTAGTAGGAACGTTTGCTTGCATCATGTGCATCGACCGTAGGGACTCAACACAGGGGTTGGGTCCGTTAGGACAGGTGTACCCCAAATTAAAAAGACCATCCTGATGCATCTTACGTGCTACTTGCGCATTTGTTTGTTTCGACTTGCATGTTGACCGGCTTCTAGAATGGAGAAAGAAAATAAAAAAAAAATCAAAAAAAAAGTGTGAGAGGTAGGTATTTAGAATATTCTGAAACTCTGCCGAAATTCTGAAAAAGCGAAAAAAAAGAGAGAATGAGCCAAAAATTTCAAGTGCCATGTTTCCCGTGTTCCGTCCTAACTGGCCGAACTACGCGGGTCTGATTCTCACCGGATGTGAGATACGTAGGCAAACCTCATCGGTTCCGATCCCAATGTTCAAAAAAGTCCAAAAACATTTTCTTTTGTTCCTTCTTTAGAAATCTTTCCTTAGAAAATTCCAAAAAAAAAAAGAGAAAAAAGATTTTTAAACTCAAAAAAAATTAGTTTACCTTCTCTTTGAAGTCTTTCATACGAAAAAAGAATAAAAAGAAAAATAAATAAAAATACAAAATACCAAAATACGGGTTACCTTACATTTTGAAGTATTTTTTAAAAAAAAAAAAAAAATCCAAAAAAAATCAGAAACAAAAATTCAAAAAATACTCTTTTCCTCTTTAGATGTCTTTACTTTTGTAATGCCCATAAAAATTTTGAAAAAATTAAAGTCCAAAAAATATTTTCGCTTCTCTTTAGAAGTACTTTTGTAAATAAATAAAAATACCCAAAAATCCAAAACATTTTCTTAAAAGTCCCTCTTTCGAAAATTAGGAGACAACTTCCAAAATCCAAAAATATTTTCTTTATTCTTCAGAAAAAGAGAAAACAAATGAAAATTCAAACAAAAATATTTTCTTTTTACTTTTAAAATTTCCCAAAGTTCAAATCAAAAGCAAATGAATTTTTAGAAGTCTTTCTTTCAAAAACTAAAACAAAAATCAAACCCAAAAAAGAAAATTCCTTTACTTCTTTTAAAGCATTTTTTTAGAAAATTTCCAAAGAAAAAAAAAACTCAAAAAACAAATAATGTTTTACTTTTGCTTTAAAAGCTTTCATGGTCTAAGT